CGGGCCCGACCTAGGCCTGGCCTAGGCCGGAGCCTTGGGCTCCCCTGGGGCTGGGCCCCGGGGGGCTGAGGGCGGCTGGGAAGCATTTGGGGACCCCGCTGGGGGCTCCGACCGGCCCCCTCACCTCCTCCCCGGCCCCCTGACTAACGATGCGTTATATTAAATGGCGCAAAATCAAACGTCGCCTTTGAATTGGCTAATTCGCCCGTTAATTAGCCTCCTCCCTCGCTCTCCCCTGGTTCCCCCCAGCGCCATGGCTTATATGTTTAATTCAGGGTTCCAGCTCCGTGCCCCCCGCCCGAGGCGGCCACCAGGTCAGTGCCAGCGCCGTGGCCGTTACCAGGATAACGATGGCGGGTCTGTTCCCACAACGCCCCCTTCATTTCATTTCTTGCTGGGTTCTGGCTCGTCCGCAGCTCCCCCCGCCCCCGACGCCGCCGGCGGGGCGGGAGCCGCCTCCGTCCAGCCCTGAAAAATCCCCCCCGCTGTCCCGTCCCTCCTTCGGCGGCTGATGGCGGCGTGGGGACAGCCGGGGACGTGGGGACGTCGGGACGTGGGGACATTGGGTATTGGGGACATCAGGAACCAGGACACGGGGACATTGGGGCACTGGGTATCGGGGACATCAGGGCCCAGGGCCACGGGGACACTTGGTGTCAGGGATGTTGGGGCTTGGGGACATCAGGACATGGGGACATCGGGACCCAGGGGCCTTGGGACACAGTGACATGGGGACACTGGGTATCAGGGATATTGGGATCTGGGACACAGGGACATGAGGACAATGGGATCTGGGACACGAGGACATTGGGACAGTGAGTGTCAGGGATGTCAGGTCCTGGGGACATCAGGGCCATAGGGACATTGGGGACATCGGGACCCAGGGACATGGGGACATGGGGACACTGGGCATCAGGGACACAGGGATGCCAGGACACTGGGTGTCAGGGACATCGGGATCTGGGACACAGGGACACGAGGACATCGGAGTCTGGGACACAAGGGCATTGGGACACAGGGTGTCAGGGACATCGGGGCTCGGGGACATCAGGACCCAGGACATGGGGACATTGGGACCCAGGGGCCTTGGGACACGGTGACATGGGGACACTGGGTGTCAGGGATATTGGGACCCAGGACATGGGAACATCAGGACCCAGGACACAGAGCCCTTGGGACATGGTGACATTGGGACACCGGGTGTCAGGGACACAGGGACACGAGGACATTGGGACACTGGGTGTCGGGGACAATGGGGCCCAGGGATGCCAGGACACTGGCTGTCAGGGACATCAGGATCTGGGACACAGGGACATGAGGACATCGGGATGTGAGGCACAAGGACATTGGGACACTGGGTGTCAGGGGTATCAGGACACAGGGCATGGGGACATCAGGACCCAGGGACCTTGGGACATGGGGACATTGAGACACTGGGTGTCGGGGACATCGTGATCCAGGACACAAGGATGTTGGGACACAGGGTGTCAGGGATATCAGGACCCAGGGCATGGGGGCACGAGGACATGGGGACAGTGGGACACCAGGTATTGGGGACATCAAGGCCCAGGGCCATGGGGACACTGGGTGTCAGGGACATTGGGACATCCCCATCCTCTCCCATCCATCCATCTCACCCCATCCCACCCCATTCCATAGATCCCAGCCCACCCATCTCACCCCACCCCGTCCAATAGATCCCAGCCCACCCCATCCCATAGATCCCATCCCACCCATTCTACCCCATGCGCTTCCTGCCCCATCCCATCCCATCAATCCCATCCTATCCCATCCATCCATCTCACCTCATCCCACCCCATCTCATCCCATCCATTTCTCCCCATCCCATAGATCCCATCCCACCCATTCTACCCCACACCCTTCCTGCCCCATCCCATCCCATCAATCCCATCCTAACCCATCCATCCATCTCACCCCATCCCAGCCCATTCCATAGATCCCAGCCCACCCATCCTATCCCACACCCTTCCTGCCCCATCCCATCGATCCCATCCTGTCCCATCCATCCATCTCACCCCATCCCACCCCATCTCATCTCATCCCATCCCATCCAACAGATCCCAGCCCACCCCATGCCAGAGATTCCATCCCATCCAGTCACCCCATCCCCGCTGATCCCATCTGTCCCGGTTCTGGCTGGGACACAGTTCCTTTCCCCCGAGCAGCTGGCATAGCGCTGTGCTTTGGATTTCGGATGAGAACAATGCTGATGCCGCCCTGCTGCTCCGGTTGTCGCTGAGCAGCGCTTGCACTAAATCAAGGCCCTCTCGGCTTCCTGCCCCCCGCGCGGG